ACGTAATCGTATCTTTGAGATGGTACAGTCTCCCTTATTAACTTATCTCGAGTCAAATAGTAATCAAATGTCTATGCAATTATTCACTCACTACTACTAGTATGTATAACAAGAACATCCAAATCAAACTGAGTGTTCCCTTCCATAATATCTCAAATCTTGATATTTGTATATTTATTCTTCCTCCCCTTTTGGGACCCATTGAGAGTAATGCATATGTGAATGATAAATTTTGATCCTCTTGATTCCACTTACCATAACTCATAACCATTCCCATCTCTTGGATATTCTTTGAAGACATAATTCACAATCTTACTATCAAGCTAAATTAGCTTAACTTGATCAATGGCAGTTTTGATGGCCTTCAAAATAGAGTCGACTAAAGGTTTTCGACTCTAGACTCCGTAAGTTTCTAGAAGTTTATTCTTGTGTATGGAAATATGTCGATCAGGTAAGTTTCTTTGGCACCATTCTTACCCTAGAAATTCAATGACAACTCAACGGTCAAATTAGTTTTTAACTCTTGTCTCTTGCAAACCTCATTAAATAACTTACAAGCATTTACCATGCCTTGACTTCAAACCTCATATCTTCTTCTTATTATGAAAGTTTTCACTAGTGGATTATAAATGAACAATAACATTGGAACCTTCTAAAATATATATCCCAAATATTTTCAGACTTTTTAGCCATGATCACTCCATAATACAAAAATCCTGAACACCCCATGTTCAAATCCAATGAAATAGCCTAGATAATCAAACATGTTTATGGATAAACTTGTTGTCTGAGATCTAGAACATACCTCACATTATGTATAAGGAAGTCATGATCATCAAACATTTAAGTCTGATCGTACCAATATTATTAACCTTGCAAGACTTATTGTCACTATGGAAAACTACTCCACCTTCTCAAAGCTTCAAAGGCTCAAAGTATTTTTCCTTGGACACATGTGATAAGAGAAATCTGAGTCCATGATCCAAGTCTCTCCATTCTCCAAACTCGACACATTAATGCACCATCACTATCATAATTGTCCTCATTTGAGGAAACAATAATTTGATCAGAATCTTCATTGTCATCCCACTTATGGTAATCCTTCATGAAGTAACGAGGTTTATGAAAAATAAAGAATTTTAACATTGACTTGTCAAACCACTTGAGCTTAGACATCCCTCTATGCTTACTTCATCATCTTGCAACACTCAAGCATTTTCCACTATTGTAAATCTTCAAATCTTCCACCTTTAAAAATTCATTGGATCTCACAATTGTTTAAACTTCATTCAAAGTAGTATTACTTTTTATGATAAAAAAGACATCCTTGAACTGTCAAAGAATCCAAGTAATGAGCTTAAAAAGAGTAGAGACTTATCCTCATCATCAATATTCACCTTAATATTCTCTAGATCATTAACTATCTTGTGGAATTCTCTCAATTGCTCCATAGTGGATTTGTTCTCCGCCATTCTGAATGAATAGAGTTGTTTTTTCAAACACAACCTATGATTCAAATACTCGGTCATATACAATGATTCATGCTTTTCTCACATCAAAGTCGCAGTTTTATCCCTCGTGACTTCCGTTAGAGCTTTATTCCTGAGGCACAAGATGATGACATTCTTGGTAATACCCATCATCTCGACTTTCTCTGTCTGTGTTATGCGTGGATGCATAAATGCTCAACCTGAAGGTAGAGAAAACACAAGAAATGGGGGTTTGAATTGTGTTCATAGAAAATATTCCCCTTTATAAAATCTAAGCACTCAAATGATAATAGCGATAAATACAGTGAAGAGAAAAGGACACAAGTAATTTATCCAGGTTTACCGTTAACTAGGCTACTCCTGTCCACCCCCTCGAGGATGATTTCGCCTTATCCAAGGACTTAATCCATTATAACCAAACTGATTACAAATGCACGGGTAACAGTCGGTGACTAACTCACAATAACACGTTCAGTGGTCCAACTGGATATAACGTTCATTGACCCAATAGAATCAGATCCCTCATGATCATCTATCAGGATTTCTCACAACGATTGCAACCACTGTCTTCTTGAGATTGGACTTACACAAGATCACTCGAGGAACCTTTCAATGATATGTTCAGTGATCCGATTTAATGAATATAACAATCATTGACCCAATAGAATCTGATCCCTCAAGACCATCTATTAATATTTCTTCACAATGGTATCCATCAATGATCTCACAAGAGTCTGACCTTCACTCGGTCCCCTTTGAGATATGACTACTATTGACCCAACAAAATCCGATCTTGCAAGATCTCCCATCAGGATTTCCTATAATGACTGCATCCATTATCTTCTTGAGATCCGACCTTCACCAAGTCTCTCAAGGTATCAATCAACAGCAGTTGATAAGATTTCTATGTTTACATGTTTGCTTCTTATACGCAGATTACACAAATATTTATGCACATATTGTTTAACACTTTTCTGAGCAACAACTCAAGTGTTAAAACAATTTACATGAAGAGATTCAAACTGAAACACAATGAGAGAAACAACTCTCGTGTTCATTACAATGTTCTACAAATATGAATATAATCAGAAGGTTTAGTATCATCTTGTAGTGTTCTTCTTCTTCATTGAGCAAGTTTCGAGCAACAACTTCTTCCTTCTTTTAAGATCTACCAAGATATATGTGATGATAGTTGGTTAGCATCTTGTAGAATCTTCTTCTTCATTGAGAAAGCTACGAGCAACAACTTCTTGCTTCTTCTGTTTCATCTAAGATATATATGATGATAGTTGAATTACATCTTGTTGAAATCTTCTTTCTCATTCTTTTCTTTTCTCTCTTCTATGATCGTCTTCAGAATGTGTAGCATTGCAGCTTTTACATCTTCAACATCCACAACATTTTAGCTTGATGGACAACGGCGGATAACAACCACATTCTTCTTTGAATCTTTGATCTTCTTTTATATCTTTGAAAGAGAGAGACGTTGTGAGGATAAAAAGAACTTTTCCCACACCAACAGTTAGTTCCCAACGGATATAATAAGGTGTAAGAGTTTAGACAGTATAAAATAATACTTTCTGAATCCTATCACTATTCAATGATAGCTTTTCACCTTTTCTCTGAATAATGTTTTTCTATTAAGCTTGTAAACAGAGACCCGTTAAGAAAAGAAAGATAGTTGAAAATTCAGCCATTTATTCCCAACGGTCACAATGAGAGTGGTTAACAATACAATATAAAGGACTGTCCTTACGTTACTCTAGAGGGTAGAGGTTACAAACACTTTATGTACCTTTTGTACAATATCACACGTTAACCATTTTGAACTTCTTCTTATCATCAGAGGCTTCAGATATTTTAATGTTGAATGTTGAAGCTTGTTGTAGAATATTTACTCTTAAGTCTTAGAACCTAAGTCTCAGAGTCTTCAGAATTTTGTCCTATCAGAACCTTGTCTTTAAAGTCTTCATCACTTAGTTGTAAGAACTTGCTTTTCTTCAGATCATCAGAACTTGTTCAGCAGAACCCCATCTTCATAATCTTCAAAACTTATAACACATAGAAGCAAAGCTTTAGAAGTCCTCCAAAGCTTAAACATAAACACGATCAAGACCTCTTCTACTAATATTCCTTAGATACGTTACAGAAGATGAATTCCAGAATCTTGACTTCAACTGTAACACGTAACTACATGTTTTCTTCTGATGAATTCCAGATCCTCACAGCCATACCAGCTTCTGATGGAATACTTCTAATGTTGAATGAAAGTATGCATTCCATGAAATCTTCGAGTCTTCAAAATCTTGACTTTCTCTTCAGAACTATGAGTAACAACTCTTCTGATGAGTAAAACTTGACTTTTGATCTTGTAGTATAATCTTTCTTCTCATATGTTCAGAGTCTTGACTTCGTTTTTAGAATCCAAGTAGCAGCTTTTTTAATGACTGAATCCTGTCTACTGATCTTCTGCGTTGTTAAGCTTGTCTTTTTCATAAAATATATATTTGTTGTCATAAAAACTTATAGATTAAAATAGATCCAAATCTTGTTCTTACAAAATCTTCAATAAACTTTTGTTGTATTATACTTGCTTATGTCTTCACTTTCCATAATCTAAAATAGTTTTTTCAAAAATATTTCTATATTCCATTTATTAACCATGACAGTCACTTATAAAAAAGAATTCATTTTCTCAGCGACAGATACCACTTGTTGTGAAAACTCTTAACAATAATAATGACTTTGTCTATAAGTTCAAATACATCAAGCTTTTATTGAATTCAACCTTAATATTAGTTTCCTAAATAAATGACATCAAGCAACACACTAACATGTTAAGAATGACAACAAATCTACAACAAGCAAGAGAAATATAAAAGACGAGAATGCAAAAAAATTTATTTACACAATTTGATCGAACAAATCTATTCTAAAGGAGGAGAGCAACTCTCTAATTCACTGTACTTTTAAAAATTGTTAAAAGAGATTTAAAATGAGTTAGGATAAAATAGTATCCAAAATTCTTTAGAATAAACCATGTTATATACTCTATATTTTTTTAATTTCTCCAACTATCTATATATGAATAATACAAACCCGGAATATTTATAAATATACGCTAAAGACACATGTTAAGAAATCTAAAATTAAAAAGTTTGTATTGAAAAAAAAATTATTATAAATTTTTAATAAATACAATAGACAATTTTCAAAAAATACATTTTTTTCATTTAATTCTTAATAGGTGTCTTAAAAGTACTTTCCTCTATCTCATATCATAAACAAATTTTATTTTTAAAAATTTATTAAATAATTATTAAATCTTATTTATATATAGATTAAATAAACTAATTACGGAAGAAGTACAAATTAACATTACCCATTAAAACTCAAAAACTTACAACATCCCGAACAAATTCTTAAAATAAAAAATAGACCGCATTGACCCCAACTAGAAATTATCGCAACTCTTGAAAACCTGTCGGTGACTCCAATACAGAAGCCTCCATGTCTGAATCTGAGGTAATCTTCACCCCTCTCTTAAATTTTTAGATCTTTCAGTTCAATGATGAATTTGTGTTCATAATATCACATATCTGTACTTCATTTAGTTGATTTTAGGGTTTTTGAATGGTTCAATTTGGGGCTTTTTCATATCAAAACTAAATTGGTTTTGTACTAATGATTTTCTTCGCTAAGTAGAACACAAAAGCTTACTATCAAATCAAAGACTGTGTTCTGATTGGGTTTTCAAATGTGATATAAGTGTTGAATTTTTTGCTTTTATTATGTGTTTTTTTTTCTTCTGAATATTTTACATCTACTCAAATCTCATGTATTATTAATTATTCAGTGTTGTAGCTTCCTATTGTTTGAGTGTTGAGTATGAGCTAAATGTTGACACTATTTCGTTGTGTTTTTAACATCAGGTGGAAAAGGAGAGAAAGACAGAACAAGATGATATTGCAGCCACATCATATGTTAATGGACAATACTCTATTCCGAACTGCATTGATGTCTTGAAAATTCTGAAGGACTCGAAAATTCTTCGGGATAATAGTTTCATTAGCTATGCTTTAGAATTGATTAAAGATAGGGAAAATAGAGTCATAGTTGTTTCTTTAAAAGATCAGATGGATATTTTGGCGAATTGGTTACAATTCAAGTATAGAAAGGATAGGATACAAGTATAGAAAGGATTCCTCTAGAATTTCTGTTAAGATTTGACTTTTTATTTACACCTTCAACTTCCTATTGTAATGAATCTGTACTTGCATTTTGTGATTTTGTTTTTCCTTTCAATTTGTTCTATCAATGGCTTTTAGTCAAACTATTGAATCTGTACTTGCAATTTGTGATTTTGTTTTTCCTTTCAATTTGTTCTATCAATGGCTTTTAGTCAAACTATTGAACATGAATGAATTTCGAATGTATATATTCACATTCAATACTTGTTGAAGAGAAACGGAAACAGAGGTTGATATCCCAAATGATCACCCAACCAAGTTCTAGAGCTACAATTCTTAACAAGCCCTACAAGTTTATGAACTTCTAAGTTTCTATCTCTTCTGATAAAACAAACATGCATTAGCATAAAGAAATATCAGCCATTAAAGCTACACAATCAGAAATAATTGATGCCCTTGAAATACAATCTGCCACTATTAGTGCATCTGTATTAAAAATTGTGCCAGTTCAATTTTTTTGCCATCTCCAAGCACCAGCGTACTCCCAACGCCTCTGCCAAGCAAGGGTTCACAGCAATGTCCTGTTTCTCGGTTGCATGTCCTGTTTCTCGGTTGCTTGTAGCAAAGTTGCTCCATCTCTAGATTTGATGACACAACTCCATGTAGTAGGGCCATTGGGGAAGCAACATGCATCAACAAAAGCACAATACTACACAATACTTGTCAGCTTAACCTGCGAGAACTCCTCCACCAAACTAGCCGCCCCGCACAATCTCCACAGGCTTGAACTCCTTTTGTTGTAATAAATGGTTCCTCCCTTAACAAATCTTCCATAGGAGAGCGCTCCACCTTGGTCCCTACATTGAAATCAGTTTAACAACCAAGAATTATGTCAATGTTATCCGCTATGTTGAAATCCAACGGTGGTACAAACCACACCATTATGGCAGCGTGGCACCTAAAATCAAATGCTCCCCAGTTTCAAGCTCATAATGGAAAAAAGGACACATGAGATCAATCTTCATGCATTTCCTTGTTAAGTTTGATCTTAAAGGGAGGATTCCTTTAACTAGTCTCCAAAGAAAATTCTTATCTGCATCTTGAACACTACTATAAAAAATACTTTTTACTTCGATGATAAAAGAGATTTTATCTCGGGTCACATGTGAGGTAATGAAGGGTATCATGAAAACTTGTATCTTTACCCTCTTGATTTTTGTTCTACCGAGAGGGCAGTTGTAAAGGTCATTTGTTCGACCCACAACTACATCTTTTTTTTTTAAAACTATAAAGCGGGCGTCACATACCTCTCAAATTTTGTAACTATCCGATGAAAAAGAATGTAGTTACGTTGGTTATATATATATATATATATATATATATATATATATATATATATATATATATATATATATATATATATATATATATATATATATATATATATATATATATATATATATATATATATATATATATATATATATATATATATATATATATATATATATATATATATATATATATATATATATATATATATATATATATATATATTAACTAAGGGGTATAATCTATTTATTTGTTATTTATAATTTGTTTTAAATCTCGATTTGGTAGGTGATCAGTCACCATTTTCACTATATTTATGTTACTTGTCCAACAACAATCCAGGTATTCTACATCGTTTTGTATCGTATTTTGTTATCATTTGAGTCGTTTTGATGTTTATTTAGTTTCTTCAGTATTTTATGATTTCAAATTTATTTTGAGTATTTGTGTGTGTTATGTGTTGGTTGGTTGTTGTGACTGTTCCGGATACAGGTAAAGGATCCAAGGTATTCGGTGCGACGAAGCCAAGGAATAGGAAATTTCGCGAATGGAATTTGGAAGTTTCAGGAGGCCTGACACAACCACCTGTATCACCTGACACTGGCCGTGTCAGCAGAGTTAATGATTTATTTTTTGATGAGGCTTCAGGATGGTCCACACGGCCACCCGTATCAGCTGACAAGAGTCGTGTTGGTAAATGTGTTGATTTGGCTTATTTTCGTGATTTTCCATCAAGTCTGACCCGGAAAGGCGTTTTTGACTTTTCGGACTGGAACCAAGGTTTTTGCACTATTTGAGATAGTTTCTACGACAAAAGAAAAGACCTTTTTTCACGCACGAAGAATAGGAGAAGATTGAAGATTGAAGTTTATGCAATTTTTGGAGAACGAAGACTTTTCATGAGCGGAAGCAATTGATATTGGAGTTAACCACAAAATTGTAATGTCTATCTTTATTATTTCTAAAATTCTTTTGAACAAGATTATGAGTAGCTAAACCCCACATTGCTAAGGGGTGTCATTGTTTTGCATTTGTAATGGATTTGAATTCTTAATTGCAGTACAATAGTTTCTTTTCAATTTAATCGTTCAATGTGTTTAAAGCTTTCCGGATCGGACAAATTAGGATTGATTTATGATTAACAATAAGGGTTGGACCATCATTGTTAAGGTTTGTGTACGATTAAACTATTTTAGATATCACCTAGGACTAGGGATACCATATAGTTATCGGTTTAATCTTGATAACATAAAAGGCTTGGCAAAAATAATACACTTGCTATTTTTCCGATAAAGTTTTTGGCGCTGTTGTCAGGGACTGCCATATTAATTGTAGATCAATTGAAATTCTATTGATCTGCAATTAAAATTTTATTTTTTCTGTTATTGTTATATTATTTTTACTAATTTTTGTCTAATCTGTTTATGTGAGGTAAGGCCTCAACTGAGTTTACTTTTGACGCAGAGATAGAAATAACCTTTTACGCGAGGCGCGAACAAGCTCCATTAGCCAGACTGGCCTCCAAAGAAGAAAAAAAATTAGTTCATACAGATTCTGAGTCTGAACATCTATCAGAGCATAAAGAGTCAGATTTAGAATATGAACCTGAAACTATGGGTGAAAATCTACCAGCACCTGAGAGATTCCTTGGTGACTATGGCGCAACAAAAGCATCGACTGATCGACTAATAATTGTGAACCAACCAGTAAATGTACCAAATTTTCAGCTGCATCCTAGCACTATACTCAACTTGAGAGGAGGTCCTTCTCTAGAAGGGTGAATGAAGATGCCAACAAGCATTTACAAAGGTTTCTAACCATGAGCACCACCTTGAAGATAGATGGGAATACTAATGAAGCAAAGAAGTTGTGTATGTTTTAGTTCACTTTAGCTGATGAGTCTGAAGAGTGGTTTTTCTGCCTTTCGACTGGTAGTATCACTTCTTGGGAAGAGATGGAAAGGGATATTTTTGGATGAGTACTTCCCAGCATCAGTATTCATGAGAAAGAGATATGAGATCCTAAATTTTAAACAGAAAGAGGGTGAGTCGCTAGGGGATACCCATAAAAGATTCAAAAGACTCCTAGTGGCTTGTCCTACTCACAATCTGGATCAGACTGAGCAGATGAAAATGTTTGTGAATGGTCTTCGAATTATGACAAAGCAGTTGATTGACACAGCAGTCGGTGGCTCATCAAACTTTTCAACAGCCACTGGTGTGAAGAAGATTATTGAAGAAATTATCGCTAATGAGTATTTGGAGTTATATGACAGGGTTGCAAGCAAGCTAGAAGGAGTAATTGATTTGAAGTTGGAAATAACAAACAACTCAGAATTGAAGAAACAATTGATGTAGAATTTGATAGAAAGCTTAAAGCATTGAACCTAGGCACTCAACAAGTCGCTCAGGTTCAACATGTTATTTGTGAAATTTGTAGTGGACCGCACATTATAGTGCATTGTCTTGCAACTCCATAACAAATTGAAGACATCAAGTTCTTGAAGCAGAATAATCTATATGCCAATACCTACAATCCAGGGTGGAAGAATCATCAAAAGTTTGCCTGGAGGGATCAGAAAGGGAATGTTCAACAACAGAGCCAAGGCCAATATCAGAACCAATATCAGTAATAGCAACAACAAGTTTCGAAGGAATCAGATTGGGAGTTGGCCATTAAAAATATGGCAGTTCACAATCTTCAATTTCAATAAGAGACAAGAAATAGTCAAAAGAACACTTCTTCTTCCATTAAAAATCTAGAGGTTCATATGGGTCAAATAACACAACAGCTAGCAAATACTCAAGCACCCGGGACTCTTCCTGATGTAACAATTACAAATCCAAGAGATAATCACATTGTGAACGCAGTTGTGACCCGAAGCAGTAAGTTAGCTGAAAATGTCGAAAAAGAGGAAATAAAAGAGGAAGGTTTGTTAGAAGTGGAGTTATAAATAAGAGATGATTTGAAGCAAGCTGATGAAGTGATTATACAGCCAATTTTTGAGAAGGAAAAGAAAAAAGATTGTAAGCTAAAAATCATTCTCCCTTATCCAACGAGAACAAAGAAGAAAGATCTTAATGAGAATTTTTTTGAGAAATTCTTGGAATTGTTCAAGAAACTTGAGATTAACATTATTTTTGCTGAAGCTCTAGAACAAATGCCTATCTATGCCAAATTCATGAAAGACATCATATCCAAGAAGCGTTCCATCAATATTGAGCCGATGATGCTAACTAAAACATGTAGTGCTATTTTGCAGGGTCTAAAAATTCCAGCGAAGAAGAAAGACATAGGTGCAATTAGTATTTCTTGCACCATCGGGGATAGATCATTCAAGAAGGCACTTATTGATTTGGGAGCTAGTGTAAGCCTGATGCCACTTTCTATTTATAAAAATATTGAACTAGGTGAGGTGCAAGACACTCGTATGACACTTCAGTTTGTGGATCATTCAATGAAAAGAGTATATGGTATTGCAACTGATGTTCTTGTGAAGATTGACAAGTTTGTGTTCCCTGTTAGTTTTGTGGTTCTGGAAATTCCAGAAGATGAGGAAATCCCGCTAATTTTGGGAAGACCTTTTCTAGAGACAAGAAGATACATGATAGATATTGAGGAAGGCACCATAAACCTAAAAGTATATGATGAGAAGCTGAAAACTAATGTGAGGGAAACCATGAAATTCAAAGATGAGGAAGGTACCAGTAAAAATATTGAAGTGTTGGACACGGTTTTCATTCATTCAGTTCAAAGCAAAATTCCTGAATTACCGTTGGAAAGAGTTCTTAGCTTGTTAATTTCTGAAAACAATGAGGAAGTTGATGAGAAAGAGTCAAAAGATCTAGCCATGTTTGAAGCACAACTTCTGTGGAATAGATCGAAACCACACCGGTGGGAAGATTTATGACCACCTCAATCTTCTGAAGAGAAGCAAGAAGTCAAAAAGGGGACAAAGTTAAAACAGTTGCCTGAAAATCTCAAATATATTTTTCTTGACACTCAAGAGTGTCCAGCTATCATCAAATCTAGCCTTAAATAAGTTCAAGAAGACCATCTCATCAAAGTACTAAATAAATACAACGGTGATATTGGATGGGCCATTAAAGACTTGAAAGGTATTAGTCCCACAGTTTGCATGCACAAGATATTGATGGAAGATGATCATAAACTAGTCATCTAGCCTCAAATAAGAGTTAACCTTTCCATGAAGGAAGTTGTCCGCAAAGAAGTTGTGAAGTTGTTGGATGCAAGTCTTATTTACCCTATATCTGATAGTTCATGGGTGAGTCTTGTTCATGTGGTCCTAAAGAAGGAAGGAACAACCATCATCAAGAATGAGAAGAATGAGTTAATTCCTACAAGAACTTTTATAGGGTGGAGAGTGTGTATCGACTACGGAAGGTTGAACACTGCTACAATAAAAGACCACTTTCCTTTACCATTCCTCGACCAAATGTTGGAAAGGTTA